ATGCAACAGCCTTTGTTGGCTTTAAACAATGTGTACTCTGTGCATGGGCGCAAGAGGGGCACTGGGAAAGGATGTTTAAAATGCTCACCCGTCGTCATGAGTGAGCCATCCGGTTATTTAATTACTGTGAGCTGGAAGACAAGTGGTTAAAGTACATTTTCCTAACTGACTCTAATCTATCCCTATGCAATTTGTCAACTTTTCCTATCCTTTCCCTAAAACAGATTCCAATTCACTGGCAATATGGCTGCCCTCCCACCTACACTTTTATAGTGAGAGGGCTAGGTTAACCCAAAAAAACCTTATTGGTCCTTCTAAGCCTGCTCGATGTGGGGATTGAAGTGCCACACCAATTAAAATAGTCCAGATACAACTTTAATCCACTAGGGTCAGGGCCACAATCGAGTAGAATAGCCAACACAATTCAGGTTCCAAAAACACCCCCTTCATCAGGGCTAAGTGAGAGAAATCCTTGCCGTTTTAAATTTGTGTTGAGCTGTGATGGTAAGGTTTCTGGCTTGTCTGCAGCTGGTTTGGCAGCCACCTTCTAAGCTTGCTGACCATAGTTAAAAGGCCATGCAGTGTTGGTTTTAAAAAAATCTCCTGGGCAAATCTGCACATACATATGTCAGGACCGTAAATCACAAATCAACAGAATTCACCTCAAACCCATGGTAGCAGCAAACCCAAATCTCATCCCCACTAGCCTCCATTTTTTTTACCATTGAGGTGTATTGCTTCTATTTTTGCTAGGTGCTGTGGCTCAGTGCTGGAGAATTTTGTGTTTTGCACATAGTGAATCACTCTTATCACTGTATTCCTCCATAGCTAGATATAAAATGATAAAGATATTTACCATTGTCTCATCTTTAAAAACAAGTCAATGTTGTCTTCTCCTAGAAAACTCACAGGTCACTCTTAAATGCACATAGCTCTCATACATGTAACTGCCTTTATGCTGGTGACTCCCATTTACACTAGTACACCCACATTAAACATGGCACCAAAACTGTCTTATGAGCGCAGTATAATGTAAAACTGCGTGTTTGCGCATGAACTCATTATTGTAAATGAGTTTGCCATGGAAACACTAGTTGGAACATCTGCTGACATTTCACTTGTCTGCTACCAATCTGAGCCAATATGAAGCTTCTTCTATAGTGTAAAGTGTATTGATGTGAGAAAAAAAAGTTTGCGCTCTCTGAGGAATATTCTGGATTTCTACATGAATGGATCAGAAATTTGATCTGATCTTCATCTAGTTGTGATAGATAAAACAGTCTCATCTAAAAAAAGAATACTTTTAACAGTTTATATATAAATACAAAATCATTTTCTGAATGTATGGTTTAACCCTCTCATGATGTATCAGTAACATCACAGCTGTTCCTCACTTAGATAGCCAGTGAATGATATAGGGCAGGGGTAGCCAAACTTTGGCCCTCCAGCTGTGGTGAAACTGCAAATCCCATAAGGGATTGCAAGATTCTGACAGCCACAAGGATGGCTTCCACAGGCAGAGGTGTGGTGGGTTATTTCGAATGCACATTCACAAAGCACAGATGCTGGTGCAGAATGCATAGCGGAGGGGCTCAGCTAACTTGTTGGTCTCTTTTTTGACAATTAATGACCCGAGGAGTGCTCAGTACAGAACATTTATGGAATCATTATCATGGTCCCAACAGACTTTGTGTCCGCAATCTCTGACTGCCGCCAACATTGGTGCTATCAGGGCTCTGTGTAGAATCCAGATATCATAATGATACAGACTTGAGGGGTACAGAAGTGACTACACTGCTACATTGAGGGGAGGCTGACATTTGCTTCCCTTAGGAGTGAAAAGCAGACCCTTTGGTTGTTTGTTATATCATTTTTTAACACGTAAGAGCTGTAAGGCACTTTTATATGGGAAACTCTATACTGTCACATAGAAGTCAGCCTCCTTCCAACAGTATCAAAAAAAGGAAATGTTTAAAAAAAATGCACAGATAACACACACCCACATAACATACAAATAGACATAATTATGAGGCACAGATGAACATAAATTCTCATTATGTTACACACATTTCTTATCCTTTTGCACATAGGAGGCTTAAGAATGCCCTTTTCAAGAGCATTGTTTTAGTTTAAGACACATAGTAAAGGATTTGAATGTCATATCTGCTATGTACAGTAATTTACAGGTATTTGTTATCTCCTAATGTATTGTTTATTATAGGCATTTATATAGCACAAAGACTTTACATACATTGTTTACATTCACATCATTACATCGATATTTTTTTTCAGTACTCGCCAATACCGAGTACCTTAATCATGGCTTTCTACTATCATGCATTGTAATTCTATCAATCATGTTATTCACATATATTGAAGGACAGAACAGAAATGGAGTGAGATTTTCAGGGAGATATACAATCATGTTGTCATTTTTTACATTTTTTTTTCTTGGTGGGGGGGCCCAAGAAAATGTTTGCCCAGGGTCCGATCAATATTAAAGACGGGCCTGCTACCGAGTACACGGTGCATTGTGCCCCGCTTATCAGGAAGTTGGGCGGGGAATCATGATCTGTCACCCGGCTTCCTGATTGCGTGTGATGCCGGTGTTCTAGTGAAAGAACACCGGCTTTAGAGGCTGCCTGGCTTGCTGACCAATTAGAAAGCCAGGCGACGAGTCATGAGGTGCTGTCCGGCTTCCTGATTGGCTAGGAAGCCAAGCTGCCTAGCAACAAGTGAAGCGTGCTTCCTAGCCAATCAAGAATGCTGGGCGGCACATCATGCCCCGCCTCCAGGCTTCCTGATTGGCTAGGAAGCCGGCTTAACATGTTCCTAGGTAGCCTGGCTTCCAGACCAATCAGGAAGCCAGGAGGCGGGTCATTATGTGCCGCCTGGCTTCCTGATTGATTAGGAAACCAGGCTGCTGAGCAACACATGAAGCCGGCTTCCGACCCCTGCTCTAGGTTTATCACAGCAAAGGGTAACTGAAGTCAGATATCAAATCAAATGAATCAGCTATTCTAATGAATTTTGATGTAGGTTTGACCTGACCTGTCACAGAAAAAATATTGCACAAGTTTGGCTATTTGCCATTCACAACAGAATATGGATGAAGTGCAATAAAGCTCAATAAAAAGACATTTTAAAGGACCTCTGGAGAAGATTTGTTAAAGCCCATAAAGCTAGAGAAGGTTAACAAATCAGTTCTTCACACTTGGGCATCTATTATCTGGGGACATGCTAAAAAAAATATATGAAACATAATTCTGTGTTTAAAAGTCAGAATTCTATGTTTGAAAGTCAGAATTTTGTGTTTAAAAGTCAGAATTCTGAGATTAAAAGTAGGGCTGGTAATGATTAAAATTTTCGTGTTCAATTAATCGAAATAGTTTTTAATCAATTAAATTTGATTAATTATAACGCACATACAGATCCAACTACATTGGCCTATACACATACAGCACAGTAATGAAGTAATAAAATGAACTAGGATCACACTAATCCAGCACGTTATTAATCTCACGTGCCCCACTCAATAAATATCATTGAGTGGGGCGCTTGAGTGGGGCAACTCAGAATAATAACGTGCTGGATTACAAATGTATTTGCATAGTATAGCAAAGCCCTAAGGGTGATTTAAACATAAGTATTAGCTTAATATTTGAAGTAGCAGCACCTGTCCATTCCATTTCATGTAAGGACCTGATTGCAACATAATATCAGTAAATTTCAATGGGCACTTTTCTGGGAGCGAGATGGGTGGGGGGGGTTAATGGAGAGCCACATAGTGCATATATATAAGTTTAAGATAAGACAGAAGCTTGGTGCTTCTTGGTCAAACTCACCGGCCCACGTGGCTCCGTCGGCTAATGAAGGGATGGGGGGAGAAGTCCGATGACGTCACGGACATCAACGTCACCGGACTCCTCCCCCCTTCCCTTCGTTAGCCGACGGAGCCACTTGTGGAAGGGGGGAGGAGTCCGGTAACGTCGATGTCCGTGCTGTCACCGGATCTCCGACGGGACTCCCGGAAGGCGGCGGAGAGGTGAGTCTTTTCATTTTCGATCAAAAGAATTTTAATCGATCAAAAAGATTAACGATTACTCGAGGAATTAATCGTTAATTTCCCCAGCCCTAATTAAAAGTCAGAATTCCGATGTTTTATCTCAGAACTCTGACTTATCTCATTCTGATTTTAAAATCAGAGTTTATGCTGTATCACTTCATGCTATCATAATGTCTACATACTCTATTCAGATACATAAAATCATCTGAACACTTTACATAACTATTGAAAGTGCTTTTAAGTCAAAGGGGTAAAGGTTCACTTTAAATCTAAAAAATGCATTCAAGTACCTTAACTATTAACAATACTGCACCTTATTTGTGTATTACTCGGCTGTAGATCCTCAAATCATCTCTGAATTTGTGCTGACACTGTCCTTCCTTCTGCAGCCTGGCTACTTTTGTTCCCCCTGGCCCCTGTGTGTGAGTTGTAAAGTAGCCACCGCTCCAAGCTCACTCCTGTGATGGAATACAGTGTCATGTTTATTTAGTTAATTTGTATTAAAATGATAGTCTATCACAGGAGCGAGCTTGGAGCGGTGTCCACTTTACAACACACACAGGGATCATGGGGAACAAAAGCAGCCTTTATTCTAGTGGTTCACAGTAGTGTAATTTTCAATCGCTCTTCTTCTAATATACTTTGATCATTCTTCATATTGAAAAAGAGCAATGGATCTATATTGTGTAAATTAACATTTTAGCTGTTGGTAGGGTTAGTGGCTTAAGAACATGATATGGCATTAGACATTATTTTTAAATCTATGACTCCTTTCTTACACATGGTTTTAACCACAAGAACGTCTCACTGAATGATTATCTGCAGTCCTTATTGATAAGATCCATCAAATGTCAGACTATGTGCGGTTACAGAAAAACATTGATTTTTCAGACAATAAACTCAACCTGATTTTTTTTTTTTCTCATTTTCAAAGGTGGAAAAGCCAAAGCTAGAGGAAGATTGATTCGTATCAAGTACTAAGGTAATCTCATCTGAACTAAGTCCCAACCTTGGAACAAAGGATGCACTTTGGTTTATCATCTGTGCAATATAAGACTTCCCCTTTTGTGTCATTGTCATATTCTTGAGAACTTTCTCTGGACATTGAAAAAATAGCAAGACAACTACTGTAAAAGGTATTCAAAGAATCAAAGGCCTAACAGGAATCTCAATAATCCTCAATTAAAGATACAGTTCCTCAAGAGCATTTAATTGACTCAAAATACCACAGAAGAACGTTGAGGTTTTGTTAATTTCTAGTTCATGAATGTGATAAAAATAGGCCAGTGATACATTCATGATATATATTGCAAGGTGGACAGAGAATGCTGGCTCTCCATCAACATCTTGAACTGTACTATAGAAATATATTTCCTAAACTTAAGTTGTAATAGCTTAACGTCTTGGGAGTTACTGCATTCAACAAGTGTGGTCAACAAGAAAGAATCTCAATATGTACCTTTTCTTGGTGCTCAGTCTCCACACCCTGTGGGTGGCAGTCTCTATAGCAATGCAGCATGGACACTATGACATGTGTAAGACACAAACAAGGTCCGATGAAGTCATTGTGTGGGAATATATGGCTTGTCAGCCCGAATCTAAAGACATGACACCATATCTAAAAGTAAAGCTGGATCCTCCAAACAGCACCTGTGGAGACCCTCCAGAACCCTTCTGTGCTATGGTAAGAGACTTTATCCATTCAATAAATTGTAGTCAAAGCAAATTAATTAAGTATGTTAAAAATTGTTTTAATGATCTATAAATGGTTTTATTCAAGAACGTTAGCTTAAATCGGCAAAAAAATAAATACACAATTGAAATATAAATAAGGAAGCCCTTTTTTTAACCAAAGGATTTGTGATTTTGTCCAGACAATCCTGACATTTACAAACAGATAGCACAGGCAGGTTGGGGGTGTAATTTTTCTCTACAGCATTTTAATAGTGTAGCTTTGGCATTTTAGTCTGTGATTGGGCAATGAAGGTGCAGCAGCAGACAAATGGAGTAATCTCTATCCTGCTGCCTGTATGTTTCTAATTGACTCTATTTTTTTTTTAACAGTTCACATAAATGGGTTTGGCTGCTTTCAAAACAAAACTAACTGTAAGACTTTGCACACCTTCTATTTTAATATACCTGGACTGTATTGAGTTGATTTTAAGTGCAAATTTAATTGGGCTTTAAAAATAGAATAATGTAATTTTTTTTCATTGCAAAAAATGTATATATTTATGGGAGTATGCAGGGAACATTAATATAAATGTGTTCAAAATATTATTAAGAATTATCTTAGTGTTTAATAATTTATAAAAGGGTAGGTCTAGGGTTGTAGAAACATTAAATGCACAGTGATCGTATGTATCACAGTAGTTTTGCAGAGAGGTAATGCAGAAAGAAATGCAAAGCTTCATTAAAAGGGAGTTTCACGGTCTGCTTCTTCTAAAGAGATCAGAGTGAATAATCAACGTTTTCACTACAGCTTTCATTAAAAATGTATCGGCAGCATTATGGATTGGGATCTATAAACCAGGCGTTTATCAGTAGATAGTGTAATGAGTCTTTGTAATGTGACAGGAGAAGATCCTTCATGAGATAGCTACAATGTATATAAACAGGCACGTTATCAGTCGATCAGTTCCCTGACACCTTCATCAGGATCTCATGTCCCCAAGGCAGATTATGACAGCCAGATAAAGTCTGTACATTGTCATCTACTAATCAATACTGTGTGACACTTTGAGAGCAGAGTTGTTGCAGAATAAATTCTTCTATGGGGCTTGCTCTGCTTTTCTTATCTGCAGTCTGTTGAATGAATTAGATGTCCCTTGGCCCTTGCAAACTGAAGTACAACAATTTAGATAAATTATAAAAGCAAGAGAAAATGTAACAAATATTTTATTTGTTCTGCTACCACCAGATTTTCAATTTAAATCTGAACTCCAGGCAAACAGCTAAATATCCACATACATGTGTGGGAGCTGTTTTACCTGGCAAAGGATTTATATTTCTGTTGAACTAGCCCTGAGATTTACAAAGGCCTGCCAGAAAGCAGAGCCAGATGGTAGATTTAACTTTTCTCTACTGCAGTTAAGCTATACAAACAGGTCACCTCACTGCCCCTAACCTGTGATTGGACAGTAGCGATGAGGAAATCTGTAAGCTTTAGATGGTTTCAGGGCTCCTTTCAAATATCCTTTCAAATATCATAGCCTTATCCACATTGGGGGGTTTTTTTAACAGAAAGAAAAAAACAACCTGTGGAAAAGAGTAGAAAAAGTCAACATTAACGAACAAAATAAAAACACAAATGCAAAGACCCCTAAATGAAACATATTACCCGTAAAACACCCCTGTTAATAATTAATATAAGTGCATTGGAGCACATGTATCAATTCTGTCAAATGACAAACCAGCACTAAACAAGGACAATGAGACAAGTTGTGAGACAGATTTATTATAAGGTTAGGGCATGAGTCATAAATTCCTCCCTCAGCTGCTCTAAAGTAGCACTGCAACAGAATAAAACCTGACCTTGAGCAGTTCTTAATTATGCATCTGTTTAGAGTGAAAATGTGTCACATCTTCAGTAGACATTTAAATTTCGCTTCACTCCGAATGCAAATTCGGACAAAATTTTGTGAATTCAGACGTTCGAATGCTTTCTAATGTCCGAACTCCAAAGAGGCTGAATGCAAACAAACCTGAATGCTCTTTTTAAGTAGGTAAGTGGGTGTAGACCCCTAAATGAAACATATTACCCTTAATACATACCCTGTTAATAATAAACATAAGTGCATTGGAGGACATGTATCAATTCTGTCACATGACAAAGCAGCACTAATCAGGGACAATGAGACAAGTTGTGCGACAGATTTATTTTAAGGTTACAGCTTGAGTCATAAATTCCTCTCTCAGCTGCTCTAAAGTAGCACTGCAACACAATAAAACATGACCTTGACCACTTCTTAATTATGCATCTGTTTAGAGTGAAAATTTGTCACATCTTCAGTAGACATGTACATTTTGTTTCACCCCGAATGCAAATTCGGACAAAATTTCGTGAATTCAGACATTCAGATATTTTCCAATGTCCGAACTTAAATGAGGTTGAATGCAAACTAATCTGAATGTTCTCTTTAAGTAGGTAAGTGGGTGGGTAGTGGGTAGCCACACTGCAAAGTTCTTGCCCAAAGATGGAATTTAAAGTGTGTATCCACTTTTGCAGTCAAGTTTGAGAAAAGCCCCCTATATGTTTATTGTGTATTCCCATTCACACAGCATAACGGAAAAAAAATAATAAAATGAAAATTGTTACCTTGCCGAATCCAGCTTTTTTTTTCTGAGCACCTTCACAGTGATCTGTCCTAAAAGAAAGACAGGAGTGAATTTTGAGGACTGTGTTTCTCTCATCAACTTCAATAACATACAAGCCAAAGTTCTAATCCTTTAACCCTTTAAGGACATGCATTGTATGGCACAGATTGGCGATAAGAAGGAAATCCCGTACTGTACAGAAGATCTCCAGCTTTTTAAAATACACATAAACATGTGTAATGGATGCCTGCAGGCACCTAAACACTAACAACTCTCTAACTATGCTAACTATGTTAGCAGGCAGATCTACTTTACAAATTAGAATGGACAGACCTCTTACCCCTCTCAGCCCCTTCTAACATTATAAAGAAGGAGAAGCAAGAAGTCATTTTAACCCATAGGCAGCCAAGAAACCCTAACCCAAATAAAAACAATTTAAACTGTAACAAACTTTTTTTAAAACATTTTATTAGCTTATGAATGGGAACATGTAACAAAAATAAAATAGGCGGTATCCCTATTTGGCTGTGTGGTAATACACTTTATTGCTCTTTAATCTGGTGTTTTAGTGGACGTCTCCTAAAAAGAAGTATTGAAAAGTGTTTTGATTATTTAAATAAATCCTTATTATTTTGCTTTTTGCATTCTGTATTTATAAATTGTAAGCCCCAGAAATAACTATTTATTTTTCCATTGTGTGTCCTTGGCACTCCAACCAAAGTTCAACCAGAGTTCCCTCACTTGTGGTAAGGGTTAACCGTCTTACAGCCTCATCAGAAACGCAGTCTGCATTCATTCACACATGGCTGGGGCTCTGCCTCTAAGATGCAGGTGCCAATTTTCTCTCCAGACATAGTGTGGATACGCTTGGTTAAAGAGCACTCCTGTATTACAGCTGCTAACTCTGCTCTATTCATCACTCTAACATCTGTACATTGTGTGTTGAGGAGTAATGAGGCGTCCTCACTGAGATAACTGGAAGCTAAAGTGCCACTTTCTAGATGCTTTGTCTTTTGTTCAGTGGTTGTTAGTGTTTAGGTGCCTGCAGGCATCCATTACACATGTTTATGTGTATTTTAAAAAGCTGGAGATCTTCTGTACAGTACGGGATTTCCTTCTTATCGCCAATCTGTGCCATACAATGCATGTCCTTTATTATTGAATTTGATTTTAAGTTGCTGATGTCTTAGCAGCAGGTGTGGATTTTAATTCAGAAAGTGGAACACAGTAGTAATGCAGCAAACAGTGACTACAAGGTATACTGTACTTTATTTACCAAATGCTATCTTCAGGAATGTCTATTTACATAGAGTAAAGCTCCCAACTATCCCTCAATTGGAGGGACTGTCCATCTTTTGGAAACAGCTAGTTTAAATATTTTCATCAGTACATTGTTGTAGCAAAGCAGTGATTAAACTTTTATTCTCCCCCCAATTATCAATGCAGCATTCCACAGAGGACCTCTGGTAGCAGTGACAGTGACTGCTGCTTGGGGAAGGGGTTGACATCAACATGAAGCATTGTATGCATTATATAGTGGCGAATAATAGTTTAAAGTTGGACTCCGGACCAAAAACTCTCATTTAAATATATTCCTCAATAGCCACAAAGGATATAAATTTAGTTTGCGTGCACTGAATTCCTTTATACATCTGGATATTACCTAAAAGTAGGAGATCACACTGTTACATACTTGTATTATGTATTTATGTTCAGCTAAGGCCTCGGACCAGAGCACTACAAAACAGTCTGCAAGTTATATTGTTGTTGCGAGCCTTCAGATTTAACATGGCAAGGCCAATCCATAAAAAAAGAGTAGCTGAGCCTCTCACTGCTGACCTCTGGACTGCTATACTAATTCACTACATGCCACACAGATAGTAACTATCTACCCAGTAATTAAAATAATAGATTTTCAGAGATTTACTAATCCCTGCTTTCTTACACTCCACTGAAGGTATATGTGATATAGATGTGATGGCATGTGTGATATCATCATTTTATGGAATATATTTTTGAAGGTATTGAATCAACTAGGTAAAAGAAACAATATAAAAGTGAATTTTTGTTTTAGGAATTTTTTGTTACAAAAGTGCAATTGTCCTTTGAAATGTGCATTTGTCTATTAATCTGTGGATTAGTCTTAAGTTGGCAACACACTAGTAGAATTTTGTTGAAAAAAAATTAGTTTTCTGGAACATTCATTCGATGATCATTTTCAATGGTATGGATGAGAAAATTTTAAGCCTCAACATGGAAACCTTTTCTCGTTTCTTATCTGAAAAAATGATATTCTAACAGTGCTTTCAGTTCAGGGAAAATCATTCATATTGTAATGCATACAGTATGCTCTAGGCATAAAAGTAA